GCTACATTAATCATCTGGCACACAGAAGTGTAAAATGTTGAGCCTTTGCTAACTACAGAAGCTGTTAAGAGAACAAATCTAACTGAAAACAGGGTTGATATTAATATTTCAAGTGACGATATTGCTTCTGCAATATTCTAGAAAATCTACCTCAATGCAAATTAAACTCCATCTTGTAATTTTCATTAATTCGACTTGAGGGAAGTAAAAACGTCAGGTGTGGAAAATATACAAAATTGTTCTTTTTCTTTAAATTTGACTCAGAATAGAAACTAGAAGGTTTTTTTTTCTTTTCATTGATAGTAACCATTATCCAGAGAAGAGTCCAGGCTGTATCAGCGAAGGAGGGATTATAATGGTTTCATTTGTTGTTTGGTGCAGTGGTCTCTGAATGTGGGGGGGAGCACAACAGGATTTAATTAAGTTTTCAACTTTGAAATTTTAAATGTACTCTCAGCAAAAGTGTCAGTGTTCAAGGCTCAATAAAAATGGATTTATTGCGGCAGTAATTCGATATTGTCCCTCTGAATTTTTTATTCGTTTGTTTGCTTATTGTTGTAGAAATGTTCCAGATGGGGAGAGCAGTTGTAAATCTCTTCGTCTTTTCTTTCATGCAATCTCGCAGATCCCCGAGGAGCACGACCTGGAGAGTCAGGTGAGGTTGGAGCGTCAGTGGAGGTTTCTGAGAAATGCTCGCGTAAGAAGGCAGAGTCGAAGCATCATACAAAGAGGTCAGTAATGCGCACAAAAGACCTTCTTCTTCTTCTAACTTGTTCTAAACACATTTATATTTCACGTCGCTGCCTGGAAGAAAGAATCGTCTTTCTTAGTTTAGACACTTAATGTTCTGGAGAGGATTTTCAAATGAAATGAACAGATATTACTGGAAATTAAATTAATTATTAAAATCTCTTCCCTGGTTTTCATCCTATTCAGTATTGCATTAAATGATTCCTCTTTTGAAAGGTAGAGTGACTTTGGTTAGGGAGCATACGACACACACAAGCTCTGCGGTCACTTCACTCGAGCACTTAGCTTCTAACAGAGCCATGTTTAATTGAATGTTTACGGAGCCTTAATGAGAGCAGATCTGGGTGAAATCCAGACTGTCCAATAAGATAAAAACAGACAGAGCCTCCAACGGCACTTTTCCCTGTCGGCTGCTCTTTGTTTCATCCGTTTCTCTGCCAGGAGGTGATTAATATTCTGCCATTCTCACCAGATTCATGTTTTGTGTTTTTCACACACATTACTGATTGTTGGGAAGCTTGATTTTCAGGGGTATTGTAATGAGAGGACTTCACAAATTATGTAGGGATGGGCTCAGGTGCATATGATGAAAGAGCAGAGGAGAGAAAAGTGACTGCACCTAGACTGAGTAAATCATCACAGAAGGTCGGCCTGTGCTCAAGTATATCCTGCTTTATCATCTGTTTCACCGTAAATAGGGTCAGAATTTGCTAAAATCAACTAGCAGCCGAGGTTGTAATCTCACAAAGGAACAAGGCTT